GTCCAAAGAAGCTCCCTCTGCCTTCCGTGCAACGGCTTTAAGAAAACACGGTTTACACTCACCAAGAAACGCCTCAAAATCACTATGGCTCAAATAATAAAGTTAAAATTTAGCCAATTTACAATTAACTAAAATTAAAAATTTAGCCAATCTTAAGGAAACTTAGTAGTCCCTTTCGCCAACTAGTACAGAAAGGTCATAAATCGCGACCTGAAATTCTCAGAAATTCAGAACTTTCTACAAGAAGACAGACCCTTTCATTCCCACGCAACAGAAGAATGTTTCCAACCTATAACTCTGTCAAAAAAATCGCCGTTCCTTAGAACTATTCGACTCTGAACGAGCAAAACACGTGCTTTCAAATCCCGCGAAAAAGGGGAAAAATGCAGCTGGACAGTGACCTCTAACCTCCAAAGAAGCCTACGCGTGAGAAACGGAAATACAACCGCGCCTTTTAACTGTAACACATATTCTGCCAAACTTAAGGGAGCTTTGCCGTAAAGTTTAACAATATTAAATATTATACATTAATTTAAAAATAAGCACAATACAAATTCACAGTAAAATAATACGCAAAAATTATACACAACAAAATTACATAAGAATTTTCCATAACATTATGCTAAAAAACTTTGACATCTTACCAATGAACTAAAAGACATGAATTTCAGTTATAACAACAATGATTCTATCAAGGTGATGAGCTATCAAAGATGACATTATTCGATAACCTGTCTCCGAACGACGTCTAAGTAATCATGATGATATAATTCTTCCACGAACTATAACGTTAACAAGCTGCAACGTATAACTGTATGAACTGTGTCACAATTAAAGACGAAATCTTCTGATATTTTGCAGACCATAAATTAGCATAAATGTAGGATAAGGAAAGAATATTTTGAGATTAACCCGTTCTAATGCGACTTTGACCATCAAATCTATATTATGGCTACCAAGAAAATTTCTAATTTATTATCAAACTAAATAGTTTTTTGTACTAAACAAAGTCATCTAAAAATTAAATCTAAAATTATTATTATTAATTTGATTTCTAAATCCGCAGTTATTATTCCTCAAGTACTAAATTTATCTTCTTCCGGCGTGATTTAATCTACCACACAAACCTTTTTCCACTTCTGTTTTAAAAGTTCATCCTTTCGTATGGTATATATATATTGTTGCGTGTGTACGGGTTCATAATGCAATGAATGCACACACCAGATGATAGTTTGATAAAATTTATTTTTACCCCCCTCCCAAACAAAACATATTTCGCAGTTCTGGAATTTTCTCATACAGCTCTTCTCAGTATCAATGAGAAGTATCAATCACAATCAATAATTACACTTCAAACCACTCAGAACGCTAAATACAGTGCAATGCAAAGCGCGTCTATAAAAGGAGGAGCTCTCACGAATATCACAATACTCGGAAGACAGCTCTGAAATAACAACTCAGAAACTTATACTCTCTTTGGCCTTATATTGTTTCCCCTCGCCGCCGAGACCTTCCACCTCTCGAAACTACTGGAGGGTATATGAGGGGGGCCGGATACAGTTACAGTTACATGTAGGGCTGAAATTACTGCACCGATTACACTCATAAAGCGATGAGAAATACTCGCCAAGTTTTGCAACTTTGGGTGCTATTCGGCCAAAGACACACATTTGGGGTCAAAATAAGTCGCCGAAACAATCGCCAACTTTGCGATATATCGCCGATTTAGCGAGATAGCCTCTCTATACAAATATTATATAAACTTGCTCCTTTAATCTTATTTTTCCTGCAGAGTTTCGTCTCTTGCAAGCTTTTCCCGTTAGATTATACAGGAAATACTACAATTTCTCACATAATTTCACTAAAATTATTTTACAGGTACACAAAATTCGTAACAATGCCCCCTTTCAAAGAGCTGCACGTAAGGCGCAGTACATTCCTCGGACAGGAAGCCATACTGTCAACTAAGCAAAATAAATGCAATACTGAGACAAAAATTTCAATAAATAAAATAAACTATCAAATACTAAATTAATAAATAAATACATAAATTTACAAATTTATAGACACGTATGAGTGTGGTTTTAGTTTACTATTTATATTATATACACTACGGGGGACTACAGACTAAGATTATAGTAAGGGGTTAGCCGATCTTAATGAAGTATTTTAGGATTAGAATTTGATGAGATACGGATCAGAATTACGACGTCGCTGAATGCTTGAATAAAGTGCTTGTCATTAAAAAAAATAATTACGAGTTTTATATAAAAACACAGGAAATAAAATACAGATTTTTAACATCATGCTGTGGTTTCTTCTTTTTCCCAAAATTCTTCAGTCGAGTACTTTTTCCCTCCCTGTTTAGCTGCCGACATTAATTAATGAAGGTGGGGAAAAAGCAACTCAATTATTAAAATAAATACTTATTTATGCAGTCCATTGCTAATTTGGTAGAACAGATTAGTGCACTACAGAATTTAATTTTGCCGTGTGTTTCTCCTTCAGTTGATAATGTTTCGAAAAGCAAATAATGAGAGCTAATAACATTCTTCTCACTCTTCCCTTCCACCAAATGCAAGTGGATACCTTTTCTGGACGTATTTTCACTATTTGAGTTTAGATCTCGTAAAGAGACATTTTGCCTGATGGTATTCATACTTGTCCCTTCTGCAACTTTGTTGTACATATTCCTTCCCCCCTCCCTTCAAAGAGAAAAAGGCTTAGCGACAGAAAAGCCTTTTTAACAAAAAGCATTAGAGCAGTAACGAGAAAATTTTATATTTAAGGTTAAAAAATGTATAAATGAAAATTATAAAATTATGAGATAAATGTATGTAAATCAAAATTATAATTTCAGTTAGCAATTGTCCTTAATTCACTCTCTCTGATCTAAAAATTTTGATACATTTTCTGGATTGCGGCATTTCTAGGTCAATCCGTCTCGTATGAGAGGCGCAACGCCGGCGACGTAGCTAATTCGAATCCTAAACTTAAAATTTGGAGAACTGAAACCTTTTGTTTCTCTTATATATAGAGGTGTTTGTTTTTTTCCTCGGGAGCATGACCACTACAAAGTAACAAAATCAACATTTGGAAATACAATGTAACCACATTAACGGTGGTACCAATAAAAAATTACTTTCAGTTACAGAAGAGTAAGGTTGAATTTTTGCTTGTCGCCTTTCATAATTGGTCGCTACTAGAGTCACTGCATTTTTAATAGCTAGTCGAAAACTAAGATATTAAATGATCGCCAATATTAATGATATGCAAGTTTTAAATGTTTGAAGCGACTTCGATTTAAGAGTTTATTATTATTATTTATTAGCAGACTTATTTATTTTCAACATGAATATCGCTTAATAATTCTCTCTGTCTTTAGCAACTAAGATTCAGTAAAACCATTATTGTAGTGAACTACCTCATTCCTTTTTTTGTTAACAGGAAGACTATTTCATTCTTAGCTTAATGTATTTTAGATTTTCTTTTCAAATCACCGCTACAGAAATAAAATTGAAATGCTTATTAATTTTTATTTCAGATTGAGTTAAAATTATGCCATAGAGTGTTCGTAAAAGTTTTCTTGCAAAGCCAATATTTTAGCTCGTTTTGAAATAGTGGTGGAGAAAACTTTCGTTGTATTCCATGTTGTCTGTCTGGCTTCTCGGAATCAAACGTCTATAGAGGCAACTACATTCGACAAGCGGAACGCGCGATAATTGCAGCGGAAGAGGAAGGGAGCAAACTCAGTTCTGATCCTTATGTCGACGAGAAACGTTGATCACGTTTAAAATGTTTCCTCAGAATGTAGTGCACCGCCGTTCTGTGACACACAGTACTCAAAGTTAAGTACTTTACACAAGGAAAAGCACAGAAGAGCTGTCAGTCTGCAAGAAATTGTACTCTTATTGAAGAGCTTCCCCTTCGTAACCCCTATATATTTGTATTCTTTTAAATTTTGGGGAGGATTAGCGTATGTCACCTTCTCTGTACAGAACAGCAAACGGGCCTGGTGATACTGGTACAAAAATTCAAAACACTAAAAGACTTTGTAATTCGAAAAAGGGGACAGCAAAAGGCATCACAGAACATCACTTCCATTCGTATTTAAGTGAATTTATATGGCACCGAGTTCTTAAAGAATATAAATCTATATTTATTATTTATATACTACAGCAGGGATTCGGATTATATATTGCGCGCCTTTTAAAAAATGTCTTTATCGAATAATCTCAGATCTCGAGTTTATTCTTTTAGAATGTTTATATTCCATGTTCCAAGTATAAGCTGGTTATTATCTAACTGACGCAGTCTGCTCTTTAAGTTTTTCGCCAAACCAACACAGCATCATACAAATATTCGTTTTTCTACTTAAATTAAAATCACTTGTATTAATCATAACACCAAAAATCAAGTCCTCACTATAGACGAAGGAAATGTCAGTAATCTTCAATTACTACGTTCAAGTATGAGAGATAGATATAAATTCATTTATATCTATCTCTCACACTTGATTGTGTGATTGAACACAATTGAAGAAAAGAAATACAAAAATTTTCCTATATTTTAAACGGCTTCCGAAAAAATGTAAAAGGCGTCTGAAATAATACATAATATGCTGAATGTTTGTCATATTGATATATTTAATCACTTATAGTTCCGTACTGTATTTACTACCGAAAACTTGTTAACATTACACGAAAGCCAATTTTTAAATTTTTGTGCCATTTTTCAATGTGCGTGTACAAACACACGTATGTATATATATATATATATATATATATATATATATAGTAAGAAAGTAGTACACGAACAGAGAGACCTATGTGTTCAAGAGTTTATATTATATATATATATATGTGTGTGTGTGTGTGCGTATGAATAAATTCAAATTCGTAAATAAATTCATGGTAAATTCATATCAAAGTTAGAGAGTCGCTATGCCAAAGTGACTATCAAGCCCCGTTCACAAGAGCAGATTCGAACGGTGGTGAAAACCGGTTCTTCCAACTTGTCCCATTCACATGGCGAAAAAGCATTAACTGCTTCTCCGAAGGAAGGTAGAATACTCCTACCTCTATGGAGCAAGGCAAATGGGGATATTTCCCATGCTGCATTGCGCGAATCCGCGGTTAATTTGTAAACAACATGGCTGACGTTCAGTTGACTGCTCGGTGGACTGTCAGCGAAACAATCGCTTTAATTGAAATCTGGGGGTGCGATAGCATCCAGAAAAAATTGGATGGAACAGTACGCGATACTGAAATTTATAGACAAATACAGAAAGAATTATCTGATGCTGGCTATTCCAGAAATACGGTTCAGATTAAAACAAAAGTAAAAGCGCTGAGACGAGAATATCGACTGCAGCGAGATAAATTAAGACTGTCTGGAGCTGGTGGAAAAATTACTTTTCGATTTTATCATGAAATGGATAAAGTTCTAGGTTCCAGAGATGCCTCGAATCCCGGCCTGATAACGGAAACTGAGATTCTTGGATTGGAAGAGTCAGGTAAGAAAACTCATTTTATTAATACAGTTTGTTTTTAAAAATGTGCTAGAAATCGTTATATTGCTTTTAAATATATGTTTTAGAAAAGTGCTCGGACTCACCCCTTCTCCAAAAACAAAGGCAAAAATTTAAATTTACCAAACTTGAAATATCAACATGATTTTCAAACAGATGTTTGCCTACTTTTTCCTTATACTGCACATTTTTCTGAGATAAGAAGTACCGAGTTTAAGCATAAATATTGTCTCTTTTGAATGTAAGAATCATGGTATAAAATTCTTGGAACATTTATTCCATCACAAAAAACAAAATCCATTTCATTTGTTTGACTTTTAAAAATATATTTAATCATCTTGGTCATGGTATTTTGTAGTGCTAATTAATTTGTCTTCATTTTTTGATTATTTTTAGCCTAATTTTTTTTCTTCATGGATTTTGCATTTCCAATTTCATTTGTTGATTTAAAGATATATTTGGCTTGCAAATTTTATATTTCATTTCTTGCTACATACTTTCAGTGATTTCAATGTTTTCAATATTTAAAGAAAATTAAACATGCTGTAACATATTCCATAGTAGCCTTTAAAAAATGTTTAATTATTTTGCACACTAAATTTTTCTGCCAGTGATAATCAAATTCAATTTGAAAGCTCAATTATTTTCTCATCATAATTTTTCTTTAGTAGCTCAGTACATTTCAGCCACATGGTGAATTTGATTGCTTCTTTCCATGATATCATTCAAATCCATAATTTTAATTTCTTTGGCAAAGTGAAATAGTTTCTAAAAAATTGCTCAAATTTCACTTCTGGAAGGGTTTTTTTATAAGCAAATTTATCATTGAGAAGTTCGCATACTAACTTAACTAATGCTGAAAACATTATCACTTATTTTATATCAGATGGTAGGCTTATAGGCTTAGGTCTTGCTAAACTATATCCTGTAAGGACTTTAGGATTTGAATATATTTTATGACCATTAACCTTAATTTGAAATAACTTTTATCATTCCCTGTCACTGAAATGTATATTTCTAAGCTGTAACTATATCCCCATTATAAAAGTATTGTCTGGACTGCTTTGTTATGTAAAATGAGATTGTAATTAACAATCCCTGTTAAGTGGAGTATGGCTATATGTTTTGAAATAGTGGCCGATCACTTTTGTGAAATATATGATTATTTATTTCTGATATTTATAAACTGAATTAGAGATGAAATTTAGTAAAGAAGAATGCCATATAATCAGATCAGACCTTCAGTGGTAATGATACAAAATATTCCTCATTCAAAATGAATATCAAATATTTTTCATTTAATAGCAAAAATTAGCTATTTTGTAGAAATTCCTATACAGTGTTTTATAAAACACCTTTTTTAAAGGAATTATATATAATGTATATGACTCTGCTGTAATGAATTTAATGCTTTCAGATTTCAATTGCAATGTATTATATAAGATGAAGAGAAGTTTAATTTTATTCATGGTTCTTCTTTCCCTTTTATAGTTCCATCTGAAATGTTGAATACTTCCGAAGAAAGTTTTTTGTGGTAGCTTTTGATGCACATGAAAAGTAAGTTAAATGCATAAATATCTTAAATTCTGTAATATTATATAAAACAGTTTTTGATCACAGTCAACAGACATAATTAGTTTAATGAAAAGCTCTTTTACAAACTTATTAATTATATTGCATAAAACATATTATTGTTTAATATTAAGATCAATTTAATCAATACATATGCTTCTGTTATTATTAGTGTAAGCAATTACAAAATTTAAAACATAATTTGGCTGAAATTCAGCTGTACCTCTACAGTATAAAAATAATTTATAAAGGTACTTTTCCGTTTCGCCGGCGCAAATCTCGCCAAGCAGACTTTATTGGCTACAACATACAGTATACACATAAAAAATATTTAAAAAATTTTAGAATGAATTATTTTCACACTTTAAGGAAAATTGATGAATTTAACCCTTAATTTTGCCTTTTCTATATTTTCGCCCTCGGTTGAGCGGTGTGATTGCATCCTAATTGATTTAATTACCGCGAATGGTCTTAGGGCATAAAATTTAACTATCTTGTAAAATTCTGTGTAATTGTATGCCAGTATTGAACGAAACAATCAATTTGATAAGAAAAGGCTGACATGTTTTGAAAATGAAGCCTAAAAGGTTACCAGCGAAGATATTTCGTTTGGCATCAGTTGTACCCTTATTGGCGACTTTATCGTTTGCGCCGGCAAAACGGAAAAGTACCTTCTTTTTATATTCCTGATCTGTAATCATGCTATATTAAATTATTATCAGAAGACATAAACAACATATTGTTCATAATGTTTCTCTCAAAATATGCATGTTATTTTAAGTGATATTTCAAAATATGTATGCAGAATTTTAAACCATTTTATATTTTAAATTTCAGTATGGATCATCAAGGAACTGAAATGTATGAACAGTCACAAGAGTGTTCGCCAATTCCTCCAACTCCTAGTTCACATTTTTGTAAGTTATATTTCATTATTTACAAAAATAGCTAAAGCACTAAAGAACCAGTGCAGACATCACTACCCCTGTTGAGTGAAGGTTCTCTTCAAATGTTTATAGCAAAATTTAATTAATTGCATTTCAATTACTCATTATTATGTTTGTTTATGGTGATGAGGCAGGTAATATTAAAAAGTATGATGCTGCACAATATTTAATTCTTCATGAATCATATTATTTCTTAGATATCATGGCATGCTTGCAATCTTTTTAAGAACATATAGTTTACAAGGCCTTTCAATTAGTTCTAGACAAATATGCTAAGACAGGGTAGATATATTATAACATGTGACATAGAATAGATTATAAATGAGTAATTTTGGCCCACCAGCGGCCGAGCGGTAAAGTCGCTGAACACTGGTAGTTCGGTCTGAGGTTCGAATCCCGCGAACGGGCTGGCTGCATGGGCGTTTTCGTGGTTTTCCCCATGTGTAACGTGTATACGAGCCAGTTTCCCTTAGAAAGTCCTCCACGAAGGCACCCCTCCCCTTAGGCAGATAGCCCTCGAGGCTTTGCCATAATCACACACACACACACACACATAAATGAGTAATTTGTTATCAAGAGATACAATACAGATATTTTGAAAAATTGAAGAGTTAAGCATTACACATTCAGAGCTTAGTTATAATAGATGTAATATATAGTTGCAATATGCATACTAATAATTTATAATCGATTTGCAGTATGTTATTTTTCTTGAAGCGATAGCACCCATTTTGAATTTAAAATTTCAGAAAAATGCCCAACCTTAAAATAACCGAGTAATGAAAAGCAGAGCAATACCATATAAAATTAGTGAATTTTGAGATAGATATTTATGGAATCTCTTGAATTGCATAACTTTTTCTATGCAACTAGTATCAATTTCCAGTTGAATTTTGTTAAAATTGAATTTGGTTTGTAGAATGTTTGAATATTGTAATTTTTATGGCAATGTGTATTATAAACAGTTTACTGTCTTGTTTCCACATTTGGTGAAATAAAATGTATGAAAAAAATATAAAAGGAAAATTTAAGTGTTTTACATAACATTTTCATATATTCATAAAATCAATGACTGATGAAGCCAGTCGTTGGTTTTATGAATATATGAATTCCTCTAATTTGTTTAGAAGCAGTTAAATAGTAGTAGACGCTAAATTTTAAATTAAATACCTAATGCTTTGCGAATGGCAATGCACTGGTATGCAGAAGATAAAAATATTTTATATCTGGTTAGTACCAATACATTTATTTTAAATCACCAAGTTTACATTTGAGACCACCAAGATTACATTTGAGAAATAACTATCTTATTCAGCCAACCTGTAGCCCAGAGATTTTGAATTGCTCACTTTGTTAATCAAAAATTCCTTAAATTCACACAAAGCATGAAATAAATAAAAGGCATATCCAAAATCTGGGCTTTGAGGTACACGTGTTCTAGTCTAGTGGCACCACAATTTTTTTCTCAAATGCTAGAAAACAATTTCATTATTTATTAAAAGATATTATTACTTTTCTTTATATTTTATTATTTTTCCTATTCATTCAGGTAATGCACTTTAGGGGAAAAGGAATAAATTTCTGAATAATCTTTGCTTTGTATATTAGTATTTTTCAATGAAATGTATTTAAATAGTTAATAATTTTTATATCTTTCTGTTACTTGACAGCTTCATTGAATGGGCAACGTTCTTTCCCGGCGACGGAAGAAAAATCTGAAGGATGTGATAGAAAAAACCATTGAAACAACTGTAGATAAATTTCTGCAATTTGAAAGGGAAATGGAAGAGAAGATTTCTGAAGAAAATAGAGTCTTCAGAGAAAAATTGTTAGATATATTAGAAAAAATAGCGAATAAATAAATAATTTTTAACTTTGAATTATTATTTCTTGCTAAAATTCAGTTACTGTTCTATAAAGTTTGAAATCTTAAATTTTGACCATTGAACTTCAAGTTTTTATTTTATGAATCACTTTATGCAAATATATGTGCATATTTTAGATTTTTTTACAGAGTTATTTAAGTATTATGGTACGTGTTACGTACAATAAATGTAGTAGTCATAAATTAAATATTTTTCTAAATAACAAAGTAAGGTGTTATGCCACAATTTATGTATGTTGTATAGGTGATAATTTTTTAATTCGAACATATATTTGCTGAACACAGTTTTCGTTTAATAGACGCCTAAACGCTTTTGTAAAAATTTAAAACTCCTAATGCAAATTATACCAGGAATTCATTTAATTTATTAACCAAAATCAATAATTTGGTATATAAGAAAAATATGTACATTTAAAATTACAAGTTTTCACAAATTCTGCATTAGGAAATCTCTAACATCTGCTCCAGATACAAAACTGTCTAGATTTCCAGTGAGGTTTTCTCCAGAAATCGACAGATTATCTTCTTCTAAAGATACATCTGAATTTTCGTCATCCAGTATCAGCCAGTCGTCGAGGAATTCATCATCTAGTGTAATACATATGTTATGCAGAAAGAAGACAGCATGCCAACACTTGTGATTTGACATTTTCAACATTACTGTCATTTTCTTTCAGAAGGCATCTCCATCTTCCCTTTAGCTGACCGAAAGCATGTTCTACATTAATGCGAGAAGTACTCAATTTCTTATTAAAAAGAGCTCTTTCGGCATTTAAATGACCTCCATGAGGCTTTATAAGCCAATTCAGTAATGGGTATGCCTGATCACCCACAAGAAATGGCTTTACATTGCCATTATGGTTTCTTAGCCTTATATTTGTAGGTGAAAAGAGTTTATTGCTTTGACCTGCTCTAAACAAATTGGAATTTCTCAATACTCGAGCATCATGGACCGAACCAGGCCATCCAACATTCAAATTTATAAAACACAGTCTATCATTGACAACTGCTTGCACAATTAATGCTGAAAAACTGCTTTCGGCAAAAATAATCTTTCCCACACTTGTTTGGAGCTTTAATGGGGATGTAAGAGCCATCTACAGCACCACAGCAAGCAGGTAATCCACCATTATCATAAAACCCTGGGCTATCATTTGTAGATCATCATTTTGGGGAAAAGTAGTTTTGAATTCTTTGCTCAGTGCACAGTTGCTTCAGCAACAATGTTGCAAGCAGTAGAGTGAGCTACTCCAAATAAATTTGAAATGGTTCTTAGCTCTCCACAGGAAACCTAACTTCGAAAGAGCTATTGCCACTCTTCTTTCTACAGATACTGGTTTTCTCACTACATGCTTCTTGACTAGTTGAGATCGCAACTTGCTGCAGATGTAGTTGAAAGTAGTCCTATAAGATAAGAAATGAAACAAAACAGTTACTTTTATAAAAAATTCCTAAAACATATGAATAAAATAAAGCATACATTTTCACTTAAAAATTTGATTAGGGGATAACAGTTTAATGTACATCTGACTTTTTTGATTGCAAATTATGGCTGTTTTATTTTGGTTTTGCAAATTAAAACCAGAACTGTCTTGCTATTTTTGAACTCTTTCATGTCTATTAGTTGAGGGTGAAAAGCATTCTTAGCATCTCATTAAAAAGTATATGAAGTCTCTATTTCATATATTGATGAACCCAGTGCAATAGCAATTTGTTAAATCTAATGTTTATTCCAAATTAAGATTTAACTTGAAATTAATGTAGATAATTACTGAGAGAATTAGATTTTTGTAGCGTAGTTTACGTGAGATGAAATCACTTGGGGTGATACGAACCGGCGAATCAGGATGTTGAACCATGATAGCATAGTAAATTCTTAAATTAATGTCTTTTATTGTCTTTATTTAATATCTTAATTAATGTCTTTGTTGTTTTTATTTATTGGCTTTTTACAAAATTATAAACCATATTAGAATGTTTATGCCTTCAAAATAAAAAATTCTTAGAACTAATATTTGTTAACATTTTCTATGTGTATTCTCTATGTTGTCGCCAACAAAGTCTGCTTGGCGAGATTTGCGCCGGCGAAACGGAAAAGTACCGTCTAATTCTTTCTCTAATTTGATATAGTTGTATCCTAAACTAATATGGATATAACTAGTTATCATTAACTGTTCTGGTATAAAGTTATGATATTCAGCTGATTCTCGCTTTCGCATTGAAAAAGACTGAACTGGCTGACTTGATAAAATGCACTTCCTTTTTAAATTATTATTGAAACAATTTCAAATAAATAAGAAATTAGTTGCCAAAAATTTTGCACTAACTTAATATGTATCATACGTAATGATTTTAACTTAATTTGAAATTCTTGTTGAACATTTCGCAATATCAAAATAATTTATGTTTGCTGGAGGACAATAACTGTAGTAAGAAATAAATCAAATATAACTGATTAACTATGAAAAGTTTCTTATGTTCAAAGGAGAAAACAAAATGATACAGCTATAAAAAATTATTTACTTTTGTTAAATATTATAAATTTCAGGAACAGAAATGTTTCTGAAATTAAAAAATAATAATAATAATAATAATAATAATAAAATTGAAAAAGTTTAGAAATTATCTTAAAAAAACATTCATGAATATATAAATTACTTACTTAACTCTGTTTATTAATTGCAACTATTTCTTTTTGTATTTTGCATCCCAGTGTACAGATTTTGTGTATAGACATTACAATTACAATAAAATAAAATACATTTGTGCAGTTTGTGTGCTTGATCTCAATGCACAGTTTCAACAAATAAGTATTCTCATATCCAAATAAGAATATTCTCAAAGATCTTCTACCCCTCTTCCCTTATCCCCAATCACTCACTGAATCATTCAAGTGAATTTTCAGGGTGGCAATATTTTTAAGTATCCTACATGCATACTATACACTTAACAACACCCACACCAACCCGAGCCCAATGATATAACAGCCAGCATCGCTAACCACTTCCGCAATTATAATAGCTCATTATTTCAAAAGAATGGCAGCCACTACATATGAATTAGGTTGCAATGAAGTCAACTTGGTTAATGTGTAGGAATTATTGAAATAATAATATGAAAAGTTAGTATATTTGATGAAGATGAGTGATCAATTAAACTTTTTCAGAACTGAAATGAAGCAATTGCAGAAAATGTTCTTCACTGTTGAAGAGTTGAAAATGCAAATGATGTATTTGGATCAAAATTTCAAATGTATTCAAAGCCCAGATCTTATTGACAATGACTTGCTAAAAGCAAAAGTATGAAGAGAAAATTAGCAAAAGAATGTTCAAATAATTCTACATAATTTTTGGTTAAATAAAGTAAAAAATTAATTCTTCTAATACATGAGCAAATATATAATTTTGAGCTTTTAAATTAACTTTCTTAAATTAAACAATTAAAGAAAAATATATGAAGATTTGGTGATACATAACTAGAGGAATAACGGTACTTTTTTATTTAACATCAAGCATTTTACAGGAATCAAAGAACATTGTTAAGTGAGAGATTTCTGTACATAAAAACAATATATATTAAAAAACTATGAAATAACTTACCGAGTAATACGAAAATTTTCCTTGAAATCCTTATCATCCCATGATGAGAGAACTACGTTTTCCAAGAACACCGAAGATCGCACTTTGGACCATAAACGTCGCTCTGGGTATGCCAATTCTACTGACGTTAACATTGCATTTATGAATGAACACATAATTTTCCTTCGTCAAAGCTACCGTCTTTTGGGTAGCGATCTGCCCTCTAAACAGCGCATATTCAGCTGTAGGTGCAAAAACAATTGCAGAAAAAGCGTAATTCTTTCTTGAGCCATGCCGAAAACTCCGAAAAAACGTTAAACAAACACTACAGCGATAATTAACAATGTCGAAAAAGATGTAAACAAACACTACAAAATCCGCCAATCAGATTCAAGTTTGTGACATCACTGCTCGCAGTGGCTTATGGGTTAAGGGATGGAAGACGATGTGCGTCTGAACGGGTCCTGAAGGCGAAACTGCTTGGTAACCCCACTTCTCCCTGATATGAACGATGGCTCAGATCTCCAATGAAGGACAAAAGAGGTGTTTCTTCCGCCTCTTCTGTCCTTCGTTGGAACCGCCTCTTCTGTCCTTCGTTGGAGATCTTGTAGTCACTTTCTGGATTTCGATGGAGATCTGGTAGTCTGAAATTTTCATGTTTATGAGCATTAGAATTATGATAGTTTTTTACATCTTTTACCAAGTTATAGAATATTTCCCATTGAATTTCGCTAAATATTCAATACATGGCGTGTGAAACAAAGTACAGTGAAAGTGGGGCTTAGAAATAAAAGAAGGTTTAACAATAATTTGACATCTTAATCTCTTTTCAAAATAAAAATATCGCAAATTTAGTTTTTGTGAAACTTCAAGGTACTTTCGTAATAGAAACTTTGCTAATAAGCGGTATTCTAACCAGTTACAGAAAGAGTAACATCCAATTATATCTTTTGTACTAACTCAATATTCATTTGCAGAGTGTTTAAAGAAGAAGATGAATTTTCAACTCTCGTTTTGCTTAGAAGTACCAGTGCACATTTTATCCATGCAATAATATAGGAAGCGGTGCTGATTTGACGCATCAGTTTAACGTACAATTTTATCTGGTCTATAAATTGAATTAACCTTTTGAAGACGGGATGGCCATTATAGTGGCTCCTCTCTTTGAAAAGACGGGGTTGTCCACTTTAGTGGCCATGTCTTTTTCCCCCATTTTCCAGACTAAAAAGTGGGGTGAAATGTCAAATTTGACGTCCCTAGGGTTTTAACCACTTATCTCTT